CAAGATTATAAAGGATTTATTGTCTGTTAATTTTCACTTATATTGGTTGGGTTTTCAGGATAATTTGCATGTTATATTGCAATTATTCCACTAGGAATTACTCTGATGGTAAAATTTAAAATAGAATCAGAATCAGCAAATTCAAAAATGCAAGCTGATAAAGATTAGTTTTAATTTAATTAGAAGTAAGCTAAAAATATCTATATTGATATGTGCATACATTGAGTTATAGGTCACTGTCTTCAAACTTAGCTGTCTTAAAGTCTCTCTGAGACATAAATGCTGAGAAACTAGATTGCTTATAATTAAAGCAGAGATCTAGAAACAGAATACATATATATTTTAAATTTAATTTAGCTTATTCATCTAGTTTCCAAGATGTCACTGTAATATTGCTACGTTGTATATCAATGAGATATTGCAGGGCACATCTGAAGAAGTGAAAAAACATACAAACAAACAAAAAGCTACTTTTGCAAAACCTGAACAACATTTTAATTCAGGATTTGCTGGTGTTTTATTTTTACTGTACGTTATTTCATAGGAGGAAAAAAATCAGAATATATTATTGCAAAAAAATCTCCAGAACTTAAAGTAGTTATGCTGATGTAAGAAGGTTTTCTCATATGTGTACCAACTTTCTGTTTCTGTTCCTGTAACTAAATTAGTCTGTAAACTTTCTGAAAAATGTAATGTTATACATAACACTTGTTCATATATGTCTTTTAAGATTTCTTTATTAGGCCAATATCTGAAGATTTTTGGTGGTTCTAGACCTGTGAACCTGCAACCTCACAATTTATAATGTTTCACTAAAGCAGGAGCCTTTTGAAGCATATTTTAAACAGTTCCCAGTGAAAAAGCTCAAGATATTTGGCCTCCATTCTCATCATGGTTTTTTTTGGAGGAACTGGGTTGGAACTCTTCATAGATATCTCCTTTTGGGATGTAGTGAACTTTCATTTTCATAAATTACCAGCAAATGATCTCTAAGTACATTTCTTAAGGCGAGCCTCTAACTATGATTACCTAATATCTCTTTTGCATAGAAAAGTGAAACAGAACTGTAGTCTGGGGCCAGATGAAGAACACTGTTAAAATTAGTAAATATTTCAGGAAATATATTTCAAAACATTTTCATGAGGTGACAGATTCCAAAAGTTAGTTTTAAGCTGTAGAGATATCTTCATTCAGTGGTATTCTTACAAACATTCGGCTTTTGACTGACTTTAAGCTAATGAATATGTGATAGTTTACTGTCAAAACTTATGTATTAAATATGTTCATTAATGCATTTGAATATAAAAATTTATTATACTACAGAAGGTACAAGAGATTTTTATTTTTTCATGTTATTGCAGTGCTGAATTATGTTTGCATCTTCTCACAGTTTAAAATTCTTGGTTTTTTTAAAGAATATCAGACTAACTCTTGCAACTGTCCTTTTTATAATACCATGTTTTTCTGGAGAGCAGAAATTCCTACTGTTATTCCAGTCCTGCAGGTTTATATGTTCTTTTCTTCATTTGTGCTGGCTGTTTGTTACTGAAAAGAATTATATTTTACTCCACAAGGGGTGGTTTTGCAGTTGCTCAACCCTATAGAAATGTTGACATGTAAGCCACAGTGATGCATATCATCTTTAAATTTCAAGAACTCAGAGTTCTGAAAAGTTTCTTTATCATATATTCAGGCTGTGAAAAAAGCATAAGTTGTTTATAAGTGACAAATAAGCACGGGTAATTTTTCTTTGTCTTTCTGACAGAATTCAGCACAAGCTGGGAGATAATGATTAAACATCACTCAGTAAGTACTACTGGCAGAAAAAAAAAATGGTGTTTTTTTTAACAAATTGAATCTTTCTACAAATTGAATTAAAGAAACTGTTGCAAGAAAGTGGAGTCCATAACAACACATACCTCAATGTAGCATCTCTTTAAAAATTCCAGAGCTACATTCAGGGACCTGTTTATTTTAACACTATTTGTCAACAGTTCCTGTGGAAAAAAAAGAACAGGGGCAGACAGGTAGATGGTGTGACTCAGGTCAGTGTAGCATCACTTTCTCAAAAAGGATGGGTGATTTATTCACAGAAATCAACTTCGCAATGCACTTGTGTAGCGCTTGCTTTGAAACTTCACTTTGTCAATAGTTTTTGCTGTTATTATCTCTGACAGAACAATAACAGATGATTGGCAAGAAAAAAAATCCAGAATAGTATTTCTTTGAGTGAGGAAATGGCTGTTATTGAATGTGTTTTTATTTGATGCACTATTCCCTAGTTGCAAAATAAATATTTTAAAAGTTTGTACTGCATTCCCACTCCCTGGTTCTTTATGCTTTACAGAAGAGTGGTGGGTTTTTTTCCTTTTTTGATTGTTTGTGTGGTTGTTTTTCTTTGGTTGGTTGGTTGGTTGGTTATTTTTTCTCTCATCACTTCTGTTACTATTGAATTACTTGGTCTCTGTTTAAAGCCCATTGCTTTAACTGCAATATTTTTTTCCATTCTTTGTAGACAAGATCTGTTCTGGTAGTTTTTTCTTTGTTGCTTTATTCCATTTTACTGTGAAAAGAACAACTATGTATAGTTTTATTTGCCTACAGCAAACTTTGAAGTGTTTCTGAAGTATATGATGCTGAGAAGAGAAAATAAAGAGAAAAATGCCTTATTTTATAAGTTAACAGATTTCCTTGGCTTTTCCAAGATACTCAATGAATAATTATATAAAGATCCAAATTTATGTAAATCTGAGGGGCAATTAGAGGAAAAGCAAAGATATCTCATATTTTTATTACATTCCCTTACTTTCATGAGTGAGATGTTAGAAACATAAATCTTAGGTGTGTTAAGCTATCCAGGGATAAGGCAAAACCTCTTGTGTTCAAATAAATAAGAGAAATAATCTTTTGGAGCCATAAAGGAAAGCAAATCTACAGAAAGTTAATTGAGACATTAAACTATTGCAGAGTTCTAGGGTTAAATCTACAAGTAAAGATACTGTTTAGGGAGAATTAAACATGTTTAGCTTTAAAAATCTAAAATTACATAGGTAAATAAAAAAGACCAAACTCCACCCTCAAAATAAAGTCAAGTCAGCCAATATTTTATCAGTCTGGCTTTGATAGGCAAATAGTTTCATTTGTACTTCCAAAATACACATACTGCTCTCTTACAGGAAAGAGTAAAAAGTACTTTATCATTGCAAGTTATCTAGGAATGTACATTTGCAATATGATTTTTGATATTACAGTTTCACTACCTTTATTTTTCTTTTAAAAACCAAAGGAGCAAGAAGCGTTTCTCTCTTAACGAGAGGAATAAACTGACATGACAAGATTACAGCCTAATGGAAGGTTCTCTTCCCATTTAGCAATACAAAACTTTTATTCTGTTTTAAACGCTCTTAAAAATAGACATATTAATAGCCTACTGAAGTGCTTTGTTTAATTTTCTTTATATTTGGCACCAACAAACACTTGCAACAAATGAGATAATGAGAAAGTCTTTGACATTTGCAGCACAATGCAATTAAAACCAGAACTAGGATTCTTTTCAAATTTCATACTAGAGCAACTTGTAATTTATCTAGTGACTTTCCCAGTAACTTCTGCTGACTTAGTTTAAATAAGAACTCACTGATGTCTTCAAGTTATTAAGTTCATTCTCTGGAAATTATATGTGTGTATATTTAGCCACATTCTAACAAGAAAAATCAACTTTCCGTAAAACAGGGTAGTTTTTCTGGAGGCCTGTTCTCAAGAAGCTGTATAGTCAGGGAATAGATAAATTCTCTGCTGTCATGACCTCACTACTCCTCACAGGGAAGAGATTATCCTGAATCACCAGCACTGCAGTGCCTACCCACAGAACAGGGCTCCTTTCCTCTGCTGCTCACTGAATCAGAGAGGCTCAGTCACTGTACCACAACTGCCTTCAGCAAAATAACTTGAACAAGTGTCTGATCTTGTAGGCTTCTGAGTTCTTGCTGTCCTAAACATTCTTTAGAGCAAGCTCCTAAATCTGTTCAAGACGAGATTTCTTAGTCGTCAGTAATAATTATTTTCTGAGCAGATATTCAGGGATGAGACAGAAGATGCGCAAAAGAAATTGCTCAGCTTTCAAGCAGGTTCAAATATTGTGTGGGAAGCAAAAAGAGGTGTAGGTAATTCTCATTTTTACATTCACAGAACACTATTCTTGACTTAAGGAATGTGAATTAGCAGTATGAAAATTCTGCTACTTGGTCCATTTTTTCTATAAAGTGAACTGAAAAAATTTTATCCCTGAGGTGATGTTTTTGATCAGTCTGTGAAGGACGTAATTTTCCCCTTAGAAGTGGAATATCATTCTGACAAGTTTTGTTATTATTGTTTGTCATTTCCAGTGAAGCATCCTTTTTTATGATAATTAAAATCCGTTGAAATTCAAAGGTACTTATGAAGGAATTGAATTTTTAAATATTTGAGTCCTTTAAGTTCTTCATAACTTGAGTTTTCAAACCATGGGATACAACCCAGCATGTATTTACCTCATACTTGAAATACCATCTTTTAGAAGAAAAAATGTCATTAGAGAAGTAGTGGAGGCAGACACCATTCTATAATATCTCTTTTGTTTTGGTGAAGACTTAAATAATTTAATTTATTTCATTCATCAGCCTCTGGGGTTGTTAACTGAAATGCTGACTCTGTTAGAGCTAAAAACTCCCAGTGAGGCCAAGGATTTCAGCTGAATAAGAAATATACAGACGAGTTCCAAGTTGGATTGGCCTCTCCCAAGTCACATAATGTGTTTTAAAAAATTATTCTGTTTTATTTTTTTCATTCCTCGAGAGCTAGAGGGCAACATTGTTTCAAAAGACGCTGCAAAAGCACATCACAAACTGAAAGTTTTGAGCTAAAAAAAGTCTTTGTTCTGACATGTTCTTTAATTAAGATACTTGCCTAAGACATCATTCTATTAGGTCTTCTTAACAGGGCATTTTAAAACTGGTCTTTTCATGTCCAGTGGCTGGTAAGGATTTATGATGCTTGTGGATTGGATAATATATAGGATATTCAGGATGGAAGATGTGTTCTCCGACCAGTGATAAGGAGAAAGGTAATTTACAAGACAGTCTTGTTTAGTGAAATGCTTTTGGTAGTACAAGTGTATTGTAGGATTGGAGAGAGACATCTAGGGATTAGAAGTGACCATAATTAGGTGAGAGGTCCTTTTTCTTTTATATAAATCACGCTTGATTGAAAATGCAGAAGCTTCAGAGTTCATGTGAGGTGGTATCATACTGTTTATTGCCTGACCCACTTGTGTTTACTGCAGATCTGAATGTGTTTACTACAGTTCTGAATGTGGTCAATGTTTTTTGGACAAAATTATACGATGCATGATAATTAATTGGTTTGTCCATTTGGTGGATTAAAGAACTCTGTTCTTATTTTATTCTATTTTTAAAATTATTGTTATTTTTTCAAGGTTATCATAAAAGACATTTTATGGAGCTATATGAAGCTTTTTGAGCTTTATGAAGTTGCCAAAATGTCCTGTCTACAAGTAACCAAGAAATTAAGAAAGATTAAATAAAAATTTCAAATAAAGAACAATCTCATCATCTAGCAATAAATTCTACTACTATGCTTTTGGCATCCAAACATACAGTAGCAGTTCAGTTGACTCACAATCCATGGAAAGTGAGCTCAGAAGCTGTATGGCTGGATCATCATGTTCCACTTGGAAAGGAAATAAACACTTTAAAAATCAATCCTCAAGTCTGGGTAGAATAAAATATAAAGTTGCAGAAATTATCTACATGAAATTGCTTTTCAGGTAAACTTTTTGAAAATATTGACTTGAGGTCCATCAATTCTACCTATTTCTTCCTATTTTATTTTACTTCTTTCTCTTGGATATTTGATTCTAAATGAAATTACTTGGTTATATGAAACACTGATTTCAGCATAACAATTTATTGTAATGAAATAAAGTCTGAGGAAAAAAAAATGTTATAACCACGGTAGCTTGGTTACAGTTGTTTATGTGGATACATTTTATTTTTTTTTGTTAAAAAAAGTGACTTGAGATTTTAATACGAGTTGCTCCTGAAATATGCAAACATGAAAATTAGAATAATGTCTCCCTTACAGAGATAAATTAATAGAACAAGTAAAAATGTCAATTTGCCATTTCAGATTTTTTTTTACCTCAGTATTTACCTCGGCTTTGCAGAAAAGTACCGTTGAATTAAAAAATGTGGTGTCTATTTGCATGTTTGTGTCTCAATGTTATATCTAGACATATGTGCATGTGAATATCTATATAGTATCTATTACCTTAAAGCTGGAAAGTTATATTTTGATAGTTGTCACATAACTATCAGAGTCAGCTTCACTTTTTTGGTCTGCAACCTGTGTGATAAAACTTAGAAGTTCAGTCATCCCATTTCTTTTATAAAATCCCCTGCATGCTTTAATTGTCCCTGCCTATATCACTCCACAGTAATCTTGCAAGGACTATTACTCTCGTGATCATTCAGGGTTCTATTCTTCCATCATTGAATTAAGAATTTTAATGAGTTTATTAATTTCCCTGCATATTTCTCATGATGAAAAACAAATTGATGTTTAATATTTTTATATTAAGCAATTAGAGTTTAAAATACGAGGGGAACAAAACCCCAATAGAATAGCTGTGACCCCCATTCATAACCACTGCAAAAATGATGACATAAAAACTAAACAGGAATGGAATTTGCCCCACAGATGTGGAGGGCTTTTAGGAGAAAAGAAAAGGAAACTAAAAGTTGTACTGAGGGCACATTAATAGTGTCTGCCCCTACAAACCAGGAGGGAAATCTATTTGTCATTACCTTCAGAATTATGGATTTATAACTACCATCAGAGCTCCAGATTTTTCTCATATTTGTTGAACAGTGCTGTCTACAGATCTTCCATAACCCCTTTTCTGTTTTTCCAGTTCCATGATTAATGCTGTGAAAGCATACTACACTTAATGCTGTCCTGGTGATAGCTTTTATGTTTAGTTATTTCCAATTTTATCTCCTTATTTTTATTTCTTTTATTTCTCAGCTCCTACTTGGATCACTTTACTGGTGATACTCTGTGACAGATTAGCACTAACAGATCACACGGTGATTATCAACACTGGTATAATTTGTCTCTCTGAATTATGGACTCAATATCATGTTCTGATACTTAATCTCAGCCCTGTATGAATTCAATTAAGTGACAGTCTGCCATTAAATATAAAAAGTTAATGTATGCCACGTACTGATACATAAAGCCATGAGTTTTATGAAACCCTTTCTCCCTGCCCCTGATATTTGTGTGGTACCTCTGTGAAGCACATTTGTTATCTCGCAGCACCATGGAAGCAGTTATAAATAACTGGAAGCCAGACTTGAAGTACAGCTGAAAGTCTGTTGTGGTATAAAAATTACATCTGTTGCGACCTCAGGTAGGGTCTATTGAGCATCATTTCTGCGGAAATGAGGGCACCAACTCCAAGGCACATCACAATGAATGCCTCAAGGGAAGTGCTCTTCAGACTCCAGAGTCTATAACACTGCTCAGGCATCAGGCAGCATGTCCACTGATTCCAAGAAATCTTCTAGGCAGGAAGACCTATGACGTACATGTTACCCTAAAATTAAACTTGAAAAACATAAGCAACAGATAGTGTATTTTGGTGTTTTCTAGATTACAGGTTGACCCTGTGTTTTTGTATGTTTACAAATTTTATGAGAAAACCCCAAATTTTAAAAATGCACTGCTAATTCTGGTAATTTAGTAAAAGAAATAACAATGGCTCTAGTTTTTTATTCTTCAAAGTATGGTTTATTTTTCAAATTGCTTATTTTAGTTAATCAGCTTTGTCTAAATAATTATGTTTTATTAATAGGTTTGAAGGCTCCTTTGACTTTTAATGGAAAATGCAAGTTGAAAATATTTGAGTCAGGCTTCTTTTTTTTCTAAAGTAAATAGAGAACAAATCATCATCTTTGCACTTCAGTACTTTTGAAAGTAAGTCTGCTGATATGAGAATCAGATGCTGAATATCACTTCTGCTTATATACTTCCTGTTGCTGTTCATACCTACATAATGTGAAAGATTCATCTTGGTACATTTCAATATATACTGCCATTTTTTTTTATTTTATTTTTTTCTAATTTTTTTTTATTTTAGTGTCACATAAGTAGAAGCAAACATAAAAACAGAAGTCAGTGTATATCTTTTCAAGTGAGAAGGATGCATGACTTCACAAGATGTAAATGTTAATCTAATATCACTTCAGGATATGTATTCATGGCATATTGTTTCAAGAATTGTGGTAGTTTTCCCAAACATGCACTGACAACAAGAAAAAGGTGTGATATTTTGGATCTTGTGTTCCAGTCTGGACTTTAGTAAGGATTAGTTAATATGCATTTAGTCCTCTGATTTCATCATGAAGGAGTCTAATGTTTTAATTATACAATTTCTAGTTCAGTTTCTGATTATGTTCAGTGGGGATGACTTCAAGGAAAATCTTTTCATAGATTTATTTAAGTGAAGATGAGATTTTTAAATTTAGGGAAGAGAAGAATGCTATATAAAAAGATAATTCCTTGCCATTCCCAACCTTTTCCTTCTTTGTAACGTTCACTTCCTGCTGTAACATTGTATTTCTGAACTTAATCACAAAAAATGCTTCACTCTTTTGATACTATAAATCAAGGTGCTCTCATAAGTAAGAGATAATTGCAAGCTTGTTGTACCTTATTAAGCCTATACGCTCATACTGTCACAAAATTTAATAACTTTTTCTATCCAGTTAGAGTATTTTTATGCTTGCTTTTCTTTTCCTCAATTTTCAGCTTTTTCATCACTTTTAGTATAAAGACTTCTCATTTTGCTCCTAAGAAGAATCATGTAATTGCAACAATTTTAAATAGTTCTGTCATAGTTCCTTAACTTGTTTTTTGTGTAAATTAGCATGGCAGTAATATCGTTGTGTCATAAAAGCTCTCAGAATCTTCTAATCTAGAAATTACTGTGTAAGAATAGCTGAAAAATTGTTTATTCTCTATTCTTCTTCAAGGGCAAAAGTCTAATGATCTTACCTATTTGCTTCTCAAATACAAGTATTACATCCTGGAAACTTGCCCTTATTGCATACTAATGATGTATTTTTTTCAGCATGGCACATAACTACGAAAAAATTTTCCTTGTAAAATAATTCATGTGATATGCAATTGAATATCCACATAATAATTATATAGTGGCACTAAATTAATATAAGTATAAGGTAACATTGAGCTATTACTGATTTTTAGATGACTTGCTGCCTGAAAATCCTTCCCTTAGAGATTGACAACATGTCGTGTAGTTTCACAGTTCCTTAAACCTGGTAATTTTTTTCATTATACAATTATTGACAACTGATCCAAGCTGTCCCAGAAAACAAGAAAAAAGAGGAAGAGGAAATATTTTAAGGGAAATATTCATTTAGAATTTTGAATATTATTGGTTCCACTGAATTACTATAGGTGTGATTTCCTTTTCCAGATGAAAATATGGGAAAGCTGGAAAGGTCTGTGGCCAGGCACAGTGTTAATGTAAACTGATCTTCATTGATTCAGCAATAGTCTTAGAATGAAGCTGAAAATTGATTTTTAACTATACTTGTGTGACTTAGCATAAACAACTGGCTCACTGTGATGGAAGAAGGAAGGTAAAATGGCATCTCAACTGGCCATGAACAGAGGAGACAGGTTGTGTGGCACCTGAGCCAAAACTGGGGAATCTATTTGTCTAGATACAGCTCTCGGCCTTCTTCACCTTCCTGTGCCAAGGAAACACTGGCAGCAAAGCCAATTCCTTGCCTTGTTCTCTGTGGTTTCAGTTGGACAGCTGTGCCATGTGGCTCATGAGACGGTGATTGCAGTCTCCATGTGGGCTCTGACTGCTGCTCTATGAAAGATTAACATCTCCCAGATCTGTGTCTGATACATAAATTATTCACGGGACTCTGTCACATAGAGGTACGAGTAAGCTCATCTTACAGGGTAGACTTCGGTTCCTTCCTCTTTTACAAGAGGACTGTT